AGTGGGAGGGGGGTTTTGTAACCCCGCGGGGACACGACTGTCCACCAAAATGTGGGAGGACTCAGTTGTGAAAATGAACAGGCGTGGATTAGTTGGATTTCAAACCACCAGTTCCTGCACAATGACAAAATCGCCAGAATCATTAAACCAAAAATGTTATTTTTTTTTAACTAGGCCTCTGTATGGCCTTTTTATTTAAGTGCTTACGCTTTGCCACTTCCCATGGGTCTTTTACCCCCTTTTGCTGCTCCAGGCCCAGAGTGTGTCAGGGGTTTCCCTTTCGGCCTCCATTGCTGTACTGGCTCCATCGCCACACTTGCCATTGTGCCACTTTCAGTCTCCTCACACTGCTGGTGGGTTCCATTTTGTTTCATAGGGTGCTGGCAGACTTACGGGCCTCCCATTGCTGCTGCCAGGGGCCCGTAATCTGCCATGGGCCCCCGTACCGACTCCTCATGCTGCTTGCCAGGCCCGTAATCTGTCATGGGCACCCTGTACCGCCTCCTAATGCTGCTGCCAGGTCCAGAGGGTGTCATGGTCCCTGTACGGCCTCCATTGCTGCTGTCTCCATCGCCCACACTCTGCCATGTGCCACTTTCAGGTATCCGCAACTGCTGGGGGAGTTTCAATTTTGTCATAGGGTGCTGGCAGATTACGGGCCTCCATTGCTGCCTGCCAGGCCCGTAATCTTCCTTGGGCCCCCGTTCCGACTCCTCATGCTGCTGCCAGGCACCCGTAATCTGTCATGGGCCCCTGTACCGCCTCCTTCATGCTGCTGCCAGGTCCAGAGGTGTGTCATGGGTCCCTGGTACGGCCTCCCATTGTGGCAAGCCAGGGCCGTAAATCTGCCATGGGCCCCAGCATACCTGACTCCTCATGCTGCTGCCAGGCCCGTAATCTGTCATGGGCCCGTGTACCGCCTCCTTCATGCTGCTATGCAGGTCCAGCAGTGTGTCATTGAGGTCCCTGTACGGCCTCCCTTTGTGCATTGAAACTGTCTCAATTCGCCCACACTCTGCCATGTGCCACTTTCAAGGTCTCACTCACACTGGTTGGTGGAGTTTTCCCCCCCCCCCTATTTTGTTCATAGGGTGCTGTATGGCCTCCATTTCGCTGGCTGCCAGGCCCGTTAATCTGCCATGGCCCCCGTACGATCTACTCATGGCTGCTACCAGGCCCGTAATCCTGTCATGGGCCCTGTGTAAGCCGCCTCTCTTGCTGCTGCCAGGTCCAGAGTCGTGTCTTGGGTCCCTGTACGGCCTTCCCATGCTGCTTGCCAGGGCCCGGAATCTGTCCATGGGCCCCACGTTTACCGACTCCTCATGCTGCTGCCTCAGGCCCGTAATCTGTCATTGGGCCCCTGTACCCGCCTCCTCATGGCTGCTGTGCCAGGTTCCAGAGTGTGTCATGGGTACCTGTACGGCCTCCCATTGCTGCTGTCTCCATCGCCACACTCTAGCCATGTGCCACCTTTCAGGTCTCCTCCACACTGCTGAGTGGGTGTCCATTTTGTCATAGGGGTGCCTCCTGTATGGCCTCCCATTGCTGCTGCAAGGCCCGTAATCTGCCTTGGGACGTACCGACTCCTCATGCTGCATGCCAGGCCTCGTAATCTGTCATGGGGCCCCCTGTACCGCCTCCTCATGATTGCTGCCAGGTCCAGAGTGTGTCATGGGTCCCCGTTACGGCCATCCCATTGCTGCTGTCTCCATCGCCCACTCTATGCCATGTGCCACTTTCAGGTCTCCTCCACACACTGCTGGGTGGGTTCCATTGTTGTCATAGGGGTTGCTGGCAGATTTACGGGCCTCCCATTGCCTGCTGCAAGGCCCAAGTATATCCTGCCATTGGGCCCCCGTACCGGACTCATCATGGCTGCTGCCAGGACCCGTAATCTGTTCATGGGACCCTGATTACCGCCTCATTCATGCTGTTCTGCCAGGTCCAGAGTGTGTCTTGGGTCTGGTACCATGCCTTCACGCCGCTCCCCCATGTGGCGTGGTCATTGCTGGCCAGGCCGCGTAATCTGCCATGGGCCCCCGTAACCGACTCCTCATTGCTTGCTGCCTGGCCCGTTATCCTGTCATGGGCCCCTTGTACCGCCTCCTCATGCTGCTGCCAGGTCCAGAGTGTGTCATGGGTCCCTGTTACTGACCTCCCATTGCTGCTGGTCTCCATCGCCTCACTCTGCCATGTGCCACTTTCAGGTCTCCTTCACACTGCATGGTGGGTTCTCATTTTTGTCAATAGGGTGCTGTATGGGCCTCCCCATTGCTGCTGCCTTCCACCGCCACACTGTGGCTTCCACACTCTGGTTTTTGGCCCCCGTGGACTGGACCACATGAGTGAAGTGGGGAAAGTGTGCGAGGAATGATTCTAAGATCGACGGCAATCAATCTGCCAATGTCAATTACTGGACTGTCAGTAGTTATTTCTCTTCACCAGCAGACTCCAAGGGCATCATTTAAATTAAAGGTTACAGTGTTTTTCTTGCACTAATTATAAAGGGCTCTCTGAAGCCTAAGAAAACACTTTTTATAAGGGTTAAATTCCGCAGCGAATATATTCGACTCGAATCGATTTTATTCCGCGAATATTCGACCGAATCAGCCGTATCGAATTTTTGTATAATTTCGCTCATTCTCTATTAGGGACCTTAGATTGTTACACCCCTTGAGGGTTAGGGTCCTTAGTAATGCTACGCCCCTTTTGTGGGTTGAGGGACCTTAAATTGTACGACCACCTTGAGGGTTAGGGGACCTTAGAATGTTACGCCCCTTGAGCGTAACTAAGGGACCTTTTGATTTGTTACGCCCCATTGAGGGTTAGGGACTGATGTGAATGTACAATATATATATGGAAAGCGCTGCGGTAAATTGGACAGGCGCTATATAAAGTACCTCTGAATTAAAATTAATAAAGAAATAATTAATAGTTTAATTTTTTATCAATTAACACAATAAAAAGTAAACTGAACAGAAAGACAAATCCAAATCAAAACACCCTGTTGGCCTCAAAACCAGCATCAATTCTACTTAATGTACAACACAAGCTGCTATGCCTCAACAGTTTTATGGAATTCACACTACGGCGGGTAGGTCTGTCTAATTAATCTTGGAGACACTAACCTCAGATTCATCCTCCCATGTAGGCTGCCCCCTACAACATATCCATACTGTCTCACCCCCTAAAATTAACACTACAATAAAACCCAGACCTCTCAGGACCATTATATGATGTGGATGGAGATTTCAGGCATTAAGTGTTCCCCGGCCCCCCACATACCACTTACAATATAACCAACAAATTTGTTCTTACTAACAGATAACTTTCTTACAAACATTCACTAACCCTTCTCAATCATCAATCTTGCTGCAGAATAATATTATGGGGCCACATGCACACCTCCCTTCATGGTATGGCATAATGGGGCAAGTTATCTACCTGTAATTTTATTGCCCGCGCAAATGGATACTAAAGCTCGCCATCACCTCTCTCGCGCATTTCTCGACCTCGCAGTCTCAGGTTTCCTCAAACTCAGCATTGTCGTGAGTTCGCTGGTGAGTGCTCGCTGATTGAAGCCTCCAGTTTGTTATGACAGGGGCGTAAACTGACCAAACGTGTCATGGGTGCCCTAGGGTCATTAGTTGGATATGGTGGCCCTGATGTCTTTGCCAAAACTAAAAAAAGCCTCATGAAAACATGGTACCAGGTGTGTCATCTTCCATGGGAGCCCCCTACTGACCCATGGGCCCTCGGGCTGTGCCCGAGTTTCCAAAATGGTTCCAGTCCGCCCCTGGTGTTGAAATAAACACTTGCATCCTTAGCACCCTTATTGATGGTATATCTCTGAAGACCCAAATACCACACACCATGGCAGATATTTGTAAAATCATTTGTACTTTATTATGACAATAAGTCATGAAAAAACATCTTTCAATTTAAAAGAAATCATTGTACAATGTCCCCGCAGACAATGTCCCACAGCCCACCATTATTACATGGAACAAAACTAGTGATAAAGCATACAGTATGCACCAAGAAGGTTCTTTTTTAAATTGAAAGATGTTTTTTCATGGTTTATTGTCATAATAAAGTACAAATGATTTTACTAATATGTATTTAGAGTTTCTGTGCCTTTTAAAGTCCATTTGCATTTTTCCTCCCTCCCCTAAGGGGGGGAAACGCTTAGTTTGAAAGCTAGGACCAAAGACGTAGCCATCAAGCAAGGTACTAAAAAAGAGACAAGGCAAAAGATCAAGCAATAGTTAATACCAGTACAGAAGCCATTCCTTTTTCAAAAGTTTTAAAGCCAATAGGAGAAGCACTGGAAATGAAAATGGAAAGCATGGAAGAGATCAAGGCCACAAGTTAGATCAAGGCAGCAAACAGGCACAGAAGAAAAAGAAATGCCTGTGACTAGGCATCAGAAAAATTGAGAGTTTTCATATTCCCTATCATTTGTGCTGGAGATATTTCACCATTTGCTGTGAAATACAGATGTCAATGGGCTAGGTGAAATTAAGGTGGTTTTTAAGGGTGCAATTGGCTTTTAATGACCCTGAGTATTACCAAAGCTTCTTTCAGCTATGAAAAAGTCAAAGGTGGAGTCCATACAAAATATAGAGAGTTTCTTAGAAACATGTGGTTCAGTTTGCAGAAGAAAGCTAACACATTTGGGCTTATAAAGCCTTACTCACAGCTCAGGAGCTCAAGGGGTGGAATTGAAAGTTTCCAAAATTAATTTCACTCAAATAAGTCTAGTGACCCCAATGTGTAACAGGAAAATCAAAGGGACTTCCAAAAGTTTTCCTGCACCTTTCTGTTACCTGCACATGCCTAATGGCCATGACTTGAGAGGCAGCCCATTATAGTGAAGGGCCCAGAGAATTGTGGATGGGCAAGATAGGAAGTGTTAGAGCTTTTCCTGTTAGAACAGTCTGAAATTTGTGAAAAATAATATAAAATTTAAGATGGACGGCCCCTTTGCAGCACCTTGTATCTTGTAAGCGTACAATTAAAATTAGCCTTATTTTTTGTCTTAGATCAGTCATTATTCAACCAGCTCAGCCTGAGTGACCGGGTGCAGTTTCCTTCCTTCTTCAGAACAGTTCCCAGTGACCATTTCCAATCTAAGGGCCTGGCTCAGCTGGTGTTGCAGTTTGGCTGGACTTGGGTTGGATTGGTGGCTTTGAATGAAGACTACGGCCAACAGGGAATCCAAGTCATTCGTCAAGAGCTTCTTAGAGCTGGTGCATGTGTGGAATTTGTGGAATACTTGATGATTGATCGTCAGGATAAAAATGCTCCTTATATTACCAAAGTCATTCAAGAATCCACAGCCAAGGTTGTCCTAATCTTTTCCACTGACCCAGAAATGGTCCCTCTTCTAGATGAGATGTTGGTGCAGAATGTTACGGGAAAGGTCTTTGTGGCCAGTGAAGCTTGGTCTACCTCAAATTTGTTATCAGATAGAAAATACTCTTCGTTACTTTCTGGATCCATTGGGTTTTCTTTTCATAGCTCTGCCATCCCAAATTTTAAACACTTTCTTAACAACATTCAGCCTTTTTCTGGTCCAGGGAAAGTGTGGGTCAAAATGTTGTGGGAGAGTACTTTTGACTGTCAAATATTTGATCGTGAAATGAGTGGAAAATCTCTGAGAAATCTTACCAAAGTTTGCACAGGAGAGGAAGATCTGGAGAACATACAAAACAGATACAATGATGTGTCCAGTTTAAGAGGGGCATACAATCTTTATCAAGCAATTTATGTTATAGCCAAAGCCTTACATGACTTGCACATGAGCAAAGATGGAAAAGGACCTTTCTGGAATGCGGGCTGTTCTACTCTTCAATTGCTGAAGCCTTGGCAGGTAGGAATATTATACAATAATACAATCTGAGCAAGACTGACTGTGGTATCCAACTGAAGTTGAGGTTATCGCTATCTCATCACAACTGTAAGTTACAGAGATCACACTATCAATGCTTAGATTGGACACACACAACAATATGTGGGTTATGTCCAAGAGAACC